CGTTAGAAATGACTATATAATTTCTATTTTTCTCACAATAATTGGGTATATTTTCAATAGTAAAAACATTTTAATGGTAGCCTTAAGTTTGCCAGAAAATTGAGGCTTTTGGAACATCTCATTGCAAGCCTTGCAATTTATCTACTAAATAGTCTAATTGATTTTCTGCTAGGTTAATCAATATATTTCCCATTGCAGTCATAAAGTTTTATTTACTTCAGGAGATGGGAATTGGCTGGTTCATTTTTTTTAAATTATTTATAAAATTTGTTGAACTATCAGAGTTAAGCCAATGCGTCTTTCCTTTGTGCTATCACAGACAGGCATTTGGTTGGCTTAGTGGTGAATCTATTTTGCTGCAGTTATATGTAAATATCCTGTCCTCAACCCTGAGCTTCCTGAGGAAAGGAATACTGATTTTCCATCCCTATGTCCCCAACACTCAGAACAATATTTTGAGTAGATAGTCAATAACTTCTAATTAAATGGATGCATAAATTAATGAAAAAAATATAATACTCTCAGATCAAAAATATGTTTCTGTGGAGGGAGAAATGTTTTTTAAAATGTACTCATGAAATTATTGGAATGTTGTTGTGAGGAGCCTATTGTGATGTTGTAGCATGATATGATAGCTCTTATACTTTCTGCAGAAAATTGGTCATAACATTAGTTGCATTAGTCAAGATTTCTTTGTTGCTACTCACAGAACATCTTATTTAAATGTTTTAAGGAAAGGAGAAATTTATTAGCTCACAGAACTCACAAAATCTGAGGGATAAATTCTGGCTTCAAAATGCCTGAAACAAGCACAAATGAAGTTTTTTTAAAACCATCATTTCTACCTCTCAGTTCTAGGTTATCTTCTTTCTCAGGCTGACTTTCTCTGTGTGGCTGGCCACTCCCAGCTCCAGATTTATGCCCTACCACCTTCAAGCCCAACAGAGAGAGGACATCTTTACCTAAGAGTTCTAAAAGAAATGTGTTCTGGAATTGAGTTTCAACCCCAGGTGGCCTCACCTAGGTTACCCGCTCATCCCATGGACATGGGAATGGGAGGCCCTGATTGTCCAGGCCTGAGCCACATGACCATCCCTAGATCAGGAATAGTGTCAAACCTAACTTAACTCCACCTGTGCTGAGATGGAGGAAGAGGTGGTGCCTCTTATAGCATAGATACCAGAGGAGAGGGAAGGGATGGACACTGGGAAGGCAACACAGCACATATCCCCTTAGTGCTTGAAGCAGCCCTGTAGTGCATGCCCATAGCAACCTGTACTGCAAATTGGGAAGAGTAATTGCTGTGAGGAATTGGCATCCTTGTGAGATAGCTATCATAGAATCACACTCATCCCCCAATTTGCTTCATGGAGCAAGGTTGGGTATTCTTTAGGCACAAGTCATGCCTGAGATAAATTAAACATGCTAGTAGAACTGCTATGAAAATTGGTAAGATCTTTTTCGAAAGCAATATTGAAATATGAAAAAAGAGCCTTAAAATATTCATACTCTTTGATCAAGTAATTCCATGTCTAGGAATCTGTCATTAAAAAAAAAGTCAAAATATATTGAGAACTTCCTGAATAAAGATGATCATTGTAGTGTTATTTAGATTGTCTAAAAGCTGTGGTACATTTATGCAATGGAATACTACACAGCTATAAAAAAGAAGGAATTCTTACCCTTTGCAACAGCATGGATGGACCTGGAGATTATTATGCTAAGTGAAATAAACCAGTCAGAGAAAGACAAGTGCCATATGTCTCAAAATAAACTAACAAAATAGAACCAGAGGCATGGATGCATGGAACAGACTGACAGATGTCAGAGTGGAGGGGAGAGAAGAGGGGAGTGGGGAGAACTGGGTAAAAGAAGGTGAAGAGATTAGCTAAAGAACATATATGCATAGCCCATGGACACAGACAAGTGTGGCAAAGGCCAGAAAAGAGGGTAGGGGGCGGTGCTGGGACTGGGTGGAGGTGGGCAAAGGGGAGTAAAATGGGGGTCATCTGTAATAGTGGCAATAATAAATAAAAATAAAAAATTTTAAAAAACTAGAAATAACTTTGAAATTCTAATAATAGAAGATTAAGTTAATTATAAATTAGCATGTTATATTTTATGCAACCCTTAAAGTAATGTCAAGGAATTATATTGATAAATGATATTACATGGAGAAAATGACATTAAGTTTATTAAAATCTCTTGAATATCAGAAAAAAGCCTACATAATTTCTTATTTTTATGATTATGTGCTTCCCAAAATAAGCAATATATATTTACAAAAGTAAAAAAGTCATACAAGAAATTAGAACTGAGTAGTGATTGGTATGTCTAGAGACACTTGGGGAAAATTTTGAAGATGGGCCAATTTATTGGTTTCATTATCCTCCAGCTATAAAATTTATGGCAAATAGTAAATCCAGTTCAACTTGTCAATGATAAGTAGAAAGTCACTTACATTACGCTGATGGTTTTCCAGCTTCGGCCTGAGAGTAGATGACATTTCAGGAGCCTTCACAGAGAGGTGCCAACTGAACCAGGCAGAACCAGAATTACCCAGAGCTTGGCTTGGTGCTAAATTCTGTTTGCACTCAGCAATAAGAGAAGTCTGTGACCTTCCATCCTGGTGGAGCTCATTTCACAAAATACAGGGTGTCCCCCCAAAATGTATATACACTTTAAGAGCTGATAGCTCAGTTTTGAAAATGAAATGTATTTTCATAAACATTGCCTTTATAATTACCCAAAATATGTGTATACATTTTGAGTGCACCCTATGTATGTGTATCCAATTGTCAGGCCTTAAGCAATGTTACAATAAAGTTCGGGGGTACATTGTGAGTAACGTGTTCAGGGAGAGTATCGGCATCCCATTCATCTTCTAGAGTTTAGAATGTAGAGCCTTCCAACCATCCAACAGAACCACTGCTCCTTAAGATGGGAGCTCAGGAGTCTTAGTTAAGAAACAACCAAGTAAAGGTTCCCTGGGGAGCAAACAGCTTGCTACCCTTTAAGAATGCCTAAAAGATTGGGGGACAGTGAGCACCGAGCTAGCAAAAATCCCCATGTTAACTTTTAGCTTTAGAAGGAAATTATAGATCCCCTTTGTGTTTTTGTTCTTTGCTAATCATGGCATTTCTTAATTATTGGTTGGAATAAGCAATGGTTTTGAAGCCATTATACTGGTAGGACTTTTGCAACTGGTAGGACCTTTGATAAAAAAAATAAATAAATAAAGTCCTTTTATTTTGTTATTGAAGGTGGTTCAACTTGAACTCTTTGGGTGAGCGATTAAGATACCAAACTGGTTTAAGCAAATAAGAATAATTAATGCCCTAATTAGCTGGAAGTCCAAAGGTAAGACTGGCCTCAGGCATGGCATGATGGAGTGTCTCCAGTGCAATCACTTCTACCAGGATATGGCTGGCTTCATCCTCAGGTAGACATCCCTCACCCCGCCTCTGCTGTGGCATGAGATGGCTTGTCTAGCTCCTGGGCTAAATGCTTCCACAGGGAAACAGGGCTTCCTTCGCTCCTCTGTCAAGTACACGTCCTGTGCCTGAGTAGTCATTATGCCCCTGGCTTGGCATGCACGCATTGATTTCTTCTAATCAGGGCTCATTCCAAAAGTTGGCCAGATGGATGGTGGGAAAAGTCAATCCAACCCACACTACATGGGCAGAGAATAAGTGACCAGAAGGTCCCCATAGGAAATGTGGAAGCTGCCTTCCCAGAATGGTGTCCTAGTTGACCAAGACAGGCAAATCCACCACAGAAGGCAATTTTATTTTATATTATTTATTGGGGTGGCATTGGTTAATAAACTTTATATAGGTTTCAGGTGTACAATTCTATAACACATCATCTGTGTACTATATAGTGTGTTCACCACCCAAATCAATCCTCCTTCTATTTCCATTTACCCCCCTTTACCCTCTCCTACCTCCCTCACCCTCCTTTCCCCTGGTAATCACCCTACTGTTGTCTGTATCTAACTGAAATAAACAAGTCAGAGAAAGACTAGTACCATATGATTTCAATTAAATATGGAACTTAATGAACAAAATAAACTAACAAACAAAATAGACACAGACTCACTGACACAGAGAATAAACTGACAGCTGTCAGAGGGGAGGGGTGTTGGGAGGCTGGGTGAAAAGGTAAAGGAATTAAGAAAGAAAAACAGAAAAAAATGTGAATGCAGGCCCACTGCACTCTTCTTCATCTTGGGGTCAGGGCCACTTAGTTGTTCTGAATGTTTAAATAGGGTAGCAAAACGTCTGTCAAATATTCAAATGAAAAACTTGTGTACACTGAAAGACAATAATGCAATATTGCCATGATTAACTTATAGATCATGGTACGATTAAAATGCATCTTCCAAATTTAACATGACACCAAAAACTTAATGACTAAAATTGACATGAAAGAAGTTCAGTACAAGTGTCTATAAAATTCAGTTGGTATTTTTTTACCTGTAACATGGGAACAACAAATGTTACAGGTGAATGTTACAGCACGCTTGTTGGCAAGATTAACAATGATTTCTGAAAAATATAGGAATTCAATGCCACGCCCATCCTATTGTTCAGTAAGCATGAGTTCCTAATGCTGCTATCTTTGTCCTAAATCTCATTTCGAGGTCAGTTTCATGAGTTTGCTATGAAATGAAATGTGTGGGCATAAATATCAAACATGCAATGTATACCCAAACTCAGAAACACAACAATTTGGAATGTGTCAAAAGTTCCCTTAAAGAAGAACAGAAAATAGATGCTACTCCAGTTGGCTACCCACAGCCAACTCCAGTCTATGGATAGTGACTACCTCCTTTTGGAGAGAATCCAAGGGGTATTTATACACAACAGGTACAAATGCTGTAACTGATTAAAGATGCCCGTCCTCAATGGAGGAGGCCACAGAGGCAGCTCAAGCAATATGCTTGCTACCTACTTGAATCTAAATGCCATCTTCTCTGCTGTGATTTTGCTTTGTAGACTATGGAAAATCCCAAGTATGAGTTGATCATCGAGGCTCAAGATATGGTTGGACAGCTTTATGGATTACTAGGCACAGCCACAGCGACAATCCTGATTGATGACAAAAATGACCACTCACCAGAATTCACCAAGAAAGAGGTAAGTAAGCCTCTGCTGACACTACCCTTGCGGTCACAGCCATGATTGCTGATCAATATTAAATTCTTTGTACACAGCCCCTGCCGGCTCCCTGTTTGCAAAATCAAAACCCTCCCTTTTGGAGAAAGGATTATGTTATGCCAGAATACTCTTTCATATTTTTATCTTTTTTTTTTTTTTTGCAAAGCTGGAAATACCAGAGCATTATGAGAACAAAAGCATTGAATCTTGTTAAAGTCTGTGAGAAAATAACTTTCAATGCCAAAATGCCATTTTCATAGTTTTATCGGTGCTATTTAGCCGTGAGTGATGTGAGTCCCATTGTGATTTTAGCATAACAATAACTATTTTTTTCAGCAAGTATAGATCCAGAGACCAGACAGAACAGCTGCAAAAGGGTAAAGCAGATTTTCTTGGCAATAGCAAGGTGGCCTAGAAGCTTATAAATAACAACCAAGTTGGCTTGTCTGGGAGAGCCATTATTTACTCTGAGCTCCGATGCTTTTATGATTATGGATCATGGGTGTTGTTTCCCATTATTTCAAAGGAGCAAATTTCGGGGACAGGCTGAGTACACAAAATTACATTCTCAGTTGCTGAATTCGTATCAACTATGCATCTAATAGAAATGTGCTAAGATCACGGTTTCTTTGCGGGTCATGGCCAGGGCAAAGGATTGGACACCCCTCTTACTGACCGAGAGCATAGAATCCATGAAGGCAGCCCTGCCATCGGCCAAACCTTTCCTCTGCATCCCCCTCCCCACAGGCTCTCCCCCTCCCATCCATTGCCTCACTAAACTGTGGGAGGTTGATTTCATTGACCTTTGACCAATGAGGGAGCTTATTTTAGGCTCAGAGAGTCTGCTCCAAGGTCCCGTGCTGAGTAAACAGCAGAAATGGGATATGAGCCCAGCTCCGCAGGAGCCATGCTCCCAACTGCAGTGCTGTGCTTCCCATCTGCCCTGAGGTCCCCACCCTCCCAGGCACTCAGAGAAAAGACCCAGGCCTGCATTTGCAGTTGCCCCTCCCCTCTCTCAAGAATCCAGGGACTATCCCAGCTCCTGACTCCCTAGTGACCTCTCCTGCTGCAGCCCTGCAGGACTCATTCAAGAGGAGGAAATACCCCTCTCCTAGTCTTGGGCACTCAGGACTCCAGTCTCAAACAGCAAAGTCCACAGTAGCTGACATGGCTCCATTCTATTGCTCCCAGGCAGTGTTCCTGTAACTGCATACAGATTGCACATTTCCCCAGGTTTCTCAAACTGGTGTTCCAAGAAATTTGTTCCACTAGTTACACCATTGTAGATCAGGGGGTGAGGGGAGCTTTCAGGGTCAAAAGATGTGGTGAATACTGAGTTGAATCCTTTAAAAAATTTCTTTTACCACATGACTTCTGGGTACCTTTTAAATGCTGTGTGCTTCTCTAAGAGAGGTTGGTTTGGGCTGTAGGCTTTCTCCGATTTATTTGGCCTAGGAATAATTTTTCCTGGGCCACTTCATCATGTCCCATTGAACTAATGGCCCATGGAATATTCACCAGGGATATTGGTTTATCTGCAGAATTTCTGGTGAACCTATTTCAAAAACAGAGTTCAAGGCACATTGTAATTTTCTATACATATATATGTAGTAATGAAAATGGAAATTGGATAATCCCAACCTAAAGTAAGAAAACCTATCAAAGTTATGAGGTGGGTGAGATTAATTAGTTATTTCAAAGAGGCTCCTGTGACTGGGATGGGGGGTGGTGTGCGTGGTCATGGACTAAATATTGTGAGAAATTATTTTTCATTGTTTGTTTTTGTTAATACCACTGAATTCAAGAAAAAAAATTAACATCTCTAAATGTAAAGTAAAAAACCCTGAGTAGCATAATGGAAAATATATTCTTCACCTATGAATATTGGCAAAAGCACAAAAATTCTCTTCAAATAGACAGTGGGCAGTAAGCTTGAGATTACCTCAGGGCAGGGCTGGTGTTCAACTCAGATAGAGATATGAGTAATAAGGCCTTGGAAGGGTAGCTCAGTTGGTTAGAGCTAAGGTTGCCGGTTCGATCCCCGCCTGGGTACATACAAGAAGCAACTAATGAATGCATAAATAAATAGAACAACAAATCAATGTTTCTCTCTCTCCCCCTTCTCTCTTCTCTCTCTGTAAAAATCAATTTTAAAAAAGAAACATAAGTAATAAAATGAGAGGAATGGGTAGCGAGCAGGAGCATCAAACTCTCTCCCTTTCTCTCTCTTTCTCTCTTTCTCTCTCTCTTATATGTGTCCCAAAGGACTCTTTGTCCAATGTTGGATAAAGTAAATTTGCAGTTAAATTTTCTAACGTGTTCCTGAAAGGCTGTGGTTGTCATTGAGGAGAGATGCCAGAATTGCTGGAGGCAGTGTAACAAAGATGTAGAGGGGTGGGCTCTTGGACCAGAGCTGTATTTGAATCCTACTGACAATACACAAGAGACGAGCACATTAACTGTTTACATTCTCATTAGAGTCTTGTGAATGTTAAATGAGCCAACAATGAAAAGCATTTAGATAGTGCTGGTCATCTCGTATTGTATTGGTGATGAGGACAGAGGTAATAAAAACAGTGGCAATTCAGAAGTGAGGACAGCGGAATAAAGGAAGTGATGAAGAAGATGGTGATGAAGGTGATGGTGAGGAAGACAGTGGTGGCAAGATGATGACAATGTTTCTAAAATTTAAGAGGCCAACTGACATTCTTATCAAATGGCCCATTTCACCTCCATGTTGAAAGTAAACTTTTTTAAGTAATCTTTTTCCTTTAAAATCATCTGTGACCCTGCTCCAGCATATCAGAATACATGGCTAGGACCCTAGAGTTCTAAGGGAGACGGGATCCTGGAGGAGAGGTGGCAGAATCTGTAAAGTGTATCACTGTGAATGAAAGCAGGAAGGCCCAGAGAAACGTGCGAGAGGGAAAAAGAGAACTGAACAGGACTCAGCCCCGCTGGTCTCTGGGATACGGAGAGTGAAACAGCAGGTGCACTGGCAACAGAGAGGAGATATGGAACTTACGATCTTGAAATTAAACCATTTTTAGAGATGAAGTTCAAGGTGCAGTCATTCTAGAATGGAAATGGTGGCCATTTGGGGTTGAGGGTGTCTAGAAAGCTGTGCAAGATGTTGTCTTATATAAGTTCTTACATATATTAGGTCATTTCTAAGGAAATTCATGGGAATATATGGTGGTTGTCTTTTTTTTAATTCTATTTCACATGATCTTCCATTTCCAGAGAAATGCATGTTTTCATCTAGAGTATTGGTGAGATTGGTTTAAAAGAGAAGTTATGGTTTCTCAAATAATAGAGACTGGAACTGACACTCTGTTAAATGAGATAGAGGGATAGCTTATTTTACATGAATGCATGTTGGTAGACAGTTCCCAGTCAATATGGTGGCAGCATGGCATTGAGTTTCTCAGATTCCTCTTACCTTTGTGGTCTGCCTTCTCCATGGCTGCCTCGTGGTACGATAGGGTCACTGCAGCACCAGCCCTCGTGTCCATATAACAGGAAGAATGAAACAAGATGTGAGAAGGACAAAGGAAGGCCTGCCACCTAAGTAAATGTCATTTAAAGGCTTTTCCTGAAACCCAAATGACTTCTGCTTACTTCTCCTTAGCTTCCCTTGTCTGTGAGGGAGACTGAGGAATAACTCCAACTAGTCTTGGTTGGCATGTTGCAGCCCTTGATAACATAGGGGTTGTTACTAAGGAAGGAGATATTTTAAAGATTACTTTAAAGAGTAAATGTTTAGTGCAAAGTACACTCATTTGTTGTTGCCCTAGTGTTTATTTAAACTGATTGTAAGCTTGCTGAGAAGCACAGCCCACACCTCTTATTCTCTGTTGCATTCCCAGTGGACACTCAAAAATTCAGTATTTTCCAAATGTTTCCTGAAGAGAATTTTAACTTGGGAACTGTGTCATTGGGTATGATGAACCAAGGTCATACTTAAAATTGCTACTGATCCGTGGAAATCAATTTTTAGTCATTGACTTTCAAAAAAATGTGGGTTGGAAGCATTAGTCTCCCCATGGAGAATCTTCTGTGAGTTGTTCTAATAGTTTTTAACACATAGCTTTAACTGAGTGTTAGTTTTGACTTTTCTAGAATGGTTATTTTGAAATGATTTTAGGGAATCTAGTTAAACTCTCCAAACTCAGAGTTTGAATTACAGCTCAGAATCTCGCTCCCATTTAGAACAAAGTGACTTGTTCATTCCTCCCCCTAAAGTTATTTAAACACACACACACACACACACACACACACACACACACACAGGCACGCACACACACATACACACACACTTCTGGCCCTTGCCTGTGTGGCTCAGTTGGTTGGAGGGTTGTCCCATACACCAAAAAGTTGCCAGGTCAATTCCTGGTCAGGACACATACTCAGGTTTTGTGCTTGATCCCTGGTGGGGAGCGTGCAGAAAGCAGCTTATTGATGCCCCTCTCACATAGATGTTTCTCTTTCTCACTCTCCTTTCTTCTCTCTCTAAAAATCAGTCTTTAAAAAAAACACTTCTGATTTGCACCTAGAACATAGATGATGCTCAATAAATACTGACTGAATAACACATATTTTCACATCAATTTCTAAACTGTAGATCATGAGGATTAAAAATTTCCTATTAATTTTAAAAGAATATGCTTGCAAATGACTTTAAGATGTTTTTTAAAGACATTGAGTTTTTCTTCATCCATTCCATCAATTGATTTTTCAGATTTTAAAAACTTAAAATGGCAACCAGTAATTTAGACTTAATAATTTAGGATTTTATTTTACTTCATTTTATTTTTGCCATTTGATGAATTCTTTCTAAGATAAAAGTTTCAATGTTTGAGCTATAACATTATAATACCTGTAATAAAAATGGCATAAAACTTAAAAGGGCCTGTCCTCCAGCTGGAAGATGAGAGGTGAGTGGGTAAATGCTCAGTTTCATAAAGCGGGGAGGAGGA